CGATTAGGTCTTATTTTGGGGAAAATACAGTACTAAACGCCTCCGTCTGCTGACGATTTTAACTGGGGCTTATTTTTGGGGTAGAACATCCTGAAAAATCATGCTAGGCCTTATTTTCTGGTTGGGTCTTATTTTCAGGGAAACAGGGTACATAAGGGTTGCCTATAGATTCTAGATCCAATGTAATCTCAGTTTAAACCAGTGGTGAAATGTAAAATTTGTTACTACCAGTGGCTTGGGGGGGGGGGTATTATGACTGAGTGGGCATGGCCAACTTTTTTTTTTTTACTTTTAAAACCATTTTTTCTACAACCTCTTCGGCTGAAGAGGTTGTAAAAAAAATGCTTTTAAAGCCTCTGATGATCCCAGCTGACTTGCCTGATTGGCAGAGGCTTTCTTTCTTTTTTTAAAGCCTCTGACGATCCCAGCTGACTTGCCTGATTGGCAGAGGCTTTTTTTCCCTTTAAAAACATTTTTTCTATAACCTCTTCAGCTGAAGAGGTTGTAGAAAAAATGCTTTTAAAAGCCTCTGATGATCCCAGCTGAGCCGCACAATCATCAGAGGCTTTTTTTTTTTACTTTTAAAAGCATTTTTTGGGCCAAAGAGGTTGTAGAAAAAATGCTTTTAAAAATAAAAAAAAAGCCTTTGATAATTGCATGGCTCAGCTAGGCAATGGGGGTGGGCAGGGATTTTTGCTACCGGTTCTCCGAACCATCCGCCTCCGCCTCCATCGCTATCGGATTAGGTGATCTGGTGTGAACCGGGAGCATTTCACCCCTGGTTTAAACAGAATACATAGTTTTAAGATTACCTTTGTATATATACATCATTGGTCAAAATCTACCTTTCTCTTTCTCTGTTGCTTCCCTTCCTCTCCCCCTCCCCACGCTCTTCCTCCTCCTCCTTTTTGAAAGGATAGTTACAACATTCTAATTTAAACCAAATCTCAGAGATTAAAAAAGTTTAAGAGCCGCACATGATGGATGTGGTACGTATTACTTGGAATTCCATTACGCTCAAATGGCAAACTCCCAAGATAACTTCATCAATCTCTCCCTTTGCCTCCTCAATTTCCCAATACATCCCAAAGGCTGTAAATCAGGAACGTGATTGCAAAGTTTCCTTTGATTTGAGCATCAGCCTGTCAATACTGGAATCCAATGCTATCTGTCCAAAGCATTTTTCTCAAGCAATTGCCCAACTGTTGCACAACAGCCCCACCCCATCCGGAGCTCCTGAGTTAAATCAGAAGCAGAAAATCAGAAGTGGAATTCCATAGGGAAGTTTGAATAGAAGTTATAAGTCTGGAGGAGCCAGCTGAGTTTTTAAAAAGAACCGCTCTTGACTGCCCCATTCTGTACTGGGTGTGGACCAGGGGTGGGTTCTACTTACCTTTACTACCGGTTCGTAGCGGGGCTGCACTCTTGCGCTTGCTTCACTCATGCGCATGCACGCTTGTGCGCGTGAGCGCTCTTCTGTGCAAGTGCAGAAGCGTTTTGATGACATCGGGGTTGGTGGGCGGAGCCTCCCGCCAGTTTTACTGTCAGTTCTATAGAACCAGTGCAAACCGGGGGCAACCCACCACTGGTGTGGACTTTGCAATTGATCAGAACAATCTTACATTTAAAAAAACACCAATATATAGTAACTGCATCACACTCGTGTCAGAAGCCCTGAGGCATTCCAGGTTGAAAAGATTAGCTGATGACATCACCGTTGTCCCAATTGGGGGCTCCTTTCATGTCCCCAGCAGGAGCTGGAGCAAACAATGGAAGCTCGCCCCATCCCATGGCAGCACTTGGGTCTCAAACCCAGGCTTGCTGCTTGTCAACCCAGCGTCCTAACCAGAGGTGGTGTTCAGCAGGTTCTGACCAGTTCTGGAGAACTGGTAGCGGAAATTTTGAGTAGTTCAGAGAACCGGTAGATACCACCTCTGACTGGCCCTGCCCCCATCTATTCTCTGCCTCCCGAGTCCCAGCTGATTGGAAGGAAATGGGGATTTTGCAGTAACCTTCCCCTGGAGTGGGAAGGGAATGGAGATTTTATAGTATCCTTCCCCTGGAGTGGGATAGGAATGGAGATTTTACAGTATCCTTCCCCTACCATGCTCACCAAGCCACGCCCACCAAGCCACACCACCCCCACAGAACCAGTAGTAAAAAAATTTGAATCCCACCACTGGTCCTAACCATGTGAGCCACCATGCTCCATATATAGTAGCAAATACTACGTACAGTGCCTTCACCTCCTGGTGAAAAGAGAAGACCAAATTGACTCACTCTCAACTATAGCATAAATACAAGAGGGCTATTTTTCCAACAGGTGCTATAATATGCACCAGCTTTCAATTATGTATACTCTCATAAATCCTCCATTTATGCAAGATCTGATGAAAAGTTTCAACTAAGGGGAGATATTTACAAATCCCTCTAAAATATATAACTTGAATATTCATGAGCTGACAATATGCCTCTACAATATACAATATAAATTTAACAATATATAATATAAAAGAGTTTGGTCTAGGGATAAAGGCACCAGGCTAGAAACCAGGAGACTATGATTTCTAGTCCTGTCTTAGCCATGAAAGCCAGCTGGGTGACCTTGGGATAGTCATTCTCTCTTAGCCCAACCGAACTCCCAGAGTTGTTGTTGTGGGGAAAAATAGAAGGAGGAAAGTCTGTTGGATACATTGGGTACTAACTTGATTTATTTCTAAAAATAATAAAGGCAGGATACAACTAGATAACTTAGATGGATGGTTGGATACATCCTAAATACATGTAAGGTTTTATTTCTGAAAATTTTTAGCTAGTCGTATAAGACTTTTTAATTTAAAATACAACTATTTCATTACATTTATTTTGAGTAGATATTTCTGATCATTCTGTTTTAGGGCAGACAATGAAATGAAAAGTGATCTCCAAACGTTTCAAGAAAAGTGGACAATCTTTCTTAGGCAAACATGCAAATGTAAACTTTGCAAAACTGCTCAGTGTTCAGATATTTGTGGAACACTTACAGAACTAAAGAACTCAGAAGTCCACTTTTAAAGGACACATAACAGCAACAGTACAAAGTTTTATTTTAGCCAGATATAACAAGCACTATCTGATCAGTCAAATATGCAGTGGTGTTATCCATGTACCTAATCTGAAAAGCCTCTCTTAGAAAATCTCTTATAAATACTGAAAGATGGGGAAAGTCTGTAATGAAGCACAGCTAAAATATGGCAGAATGTACATGAAAAATTGATTAGTTCTCAGTGTAGCTGACTCAAAAAATAAAACCTTCTGTTCTCCCATCTCCTACCCTCCCTCACAGCCTTTCACTACATACAATGGGTAAGGCATGAATCCCTGCTTAAAGCCTGAACCTGTCCATACAGCATGAAAAAGATAACATGAGCAGCATTAAGCAAGACAAATACATGGGGGGAAAAAAGCCTTGGTGTAATAAGCAATGATTCAGTAACTTTCATAAGCCTGCAGGTACAATCCATCAGAATTACATCAAAGTAAAACAATGGCTATCTGCTGGAGGTAGATTTTCATAACGCTACATACATTTATGATTCATTAAAGGAATCTCTGTAGCCATGGTTTCATGTTAAACGTGGATTGCCCGCTGTTCATACAAGGTGTTCATTTATTCCTCTTTCTTTTTGTACCTGACACATATTTGTAAATGGCTAGACAACCTACGATTCATTGGATCATCCTTTCAGATATATTTCCTATCGGATTCTTTGATGCCTTCCAATGTACTACTTTTGCTAGAAACGTTGGGATACATTCAGAGTTGTATCTGCCTTGAAAACAGTCCATGTTGAACCGTGTTTGACTATAGTATAGTCAAACATCAGCACAGGAAATGTTTTATGAGATTTTTGTATTTATCGTAAACTGTCTTATGATAATTTTTATATCATAAAATGTTTGATAAAATTTGTCAAATTTCAATTTCACAGGAAACAGGGGTCCCAGATTTTGAACACTTTCTGTAAGTTAGCCCATTTGAGGTACCTTGGTTCAAAAAATATGTTGCCCTATGGTAGTACCTTTTTGCTCAGTCAAAGGTACTAGGATGAACGTTTTAGTGCTATATAGATAACCACCTTAATTTATTTTTTCTGATTTGAAGAAATATCTTGTAGCAAGTCATTATATATGAACAATTGAAATGAATAGGTCATAAATATATGATGCTTCCACTCTTGCAGTTATGCTGCCTGAAATATTTGAAATCATTATGAGGTGGTACAAGAAGACATGTTTCTTGAAGCAGTTATGATCTCTGAACTCTAACTCCATTAGTTCTGTCATATTTTGCCAATTTTGTAATATCTATTCAGGTCTCAGAATCAGATGCCTATACCAGCTAACACTTAAAAGATGGAATAGACTGTCAGTTGCTGATATTGTAATGTTTTAGACAGAGTTCAACCCTAACTCCTGGACAGATTTAAAATGAAATCCTGTTTTTATTTATATTTCTTTGACATGTTTGTCTGAATGCTTAAGGCAGCAATAAAACAAAAAAAATATTTATAACGAGCAAGTGTTAACGTTCATTTTGTATCTCTGTATTGACTATGAACAGTTAGGATTTCCTTGAAGTTATCCGAGTTAATCACAAGTCTATACAGTCTGTATCCAATAAACAGACACAAAAGATCAATGACACGTGTGTAAGACTGCAAGAGGTACAGAAAACCTGATCAATCATCACTATCCATTCTACTAGCAAGATGAAAATTGGATACAATCCTACACATTGCTTTTGGAGAAACGCTGTCTTTAAAGTATTAACATGGTCTTTAAAGTATTAACATGTGCATGTATTCTCTTTCTATTTCAATCTCACCAAGTAGTTTCCCTTATTCAAATTTGGATTTAATCATCTTTTTACACATGGTAGTAGCCTTCACGCTGCAGCTACATTAGCAGATCCAATTTAAAAACACAGAGAACAGATGATCCAATACTACTATAGCAAATATTTTGAAAGCAGTAGTATTTATACAATTCTCAAATAGACAGCTATGATGGTGCGTTGGGGGCCTTCAGAACTGTGGATCATTATTTCATTTCTTTCCATTGCCTTTCAGTTCTGCCTTTCTGGGAATGGGACTAGACCTATTGGAACAAAAGACAGTTATGGTTAATGTGATTATAATTGGCGCACCAGATATGAAATTCTTGGCGCAGTGAGATGAAGAGGAGTATGTATTTCCACTACGCCCAGCCTAAATAAACCACAATGACTCCACCTCATTTCCTCTGTAATGTATCACCCCTTCCACTGCCACCTGGAAGAAGTTAAACACTTTGACAGTTACTCTGGAGATGTCCAGGCCACAACATGCCTTATAACCTGCACACTTTGACTGCTAAATAAAACATAACCACAGAATGCACACAGGATGTTTGATATTCATTCTGCGCTAAACAGTGGTTGAAGAGTGGGTGAGCTATTGGTTGACTGACTATGGTCTTTTCAACAATATCGTAAGAAATTTGGTATGTCTGGCCAACATGTCAGTGCTAACTAAAAAAGATGATAGACAACCACAACTTGATGATAATGTCTAACTATTCAGTGAGGATAATGAAAGCTTTTTTAAAACCTGTGGACAAACAGATAAATATATCACACAGATCAAAGCTTTAATCAGTTTCAAATATTATAATCCAATTTTCTGATACTCCGTTATTATTTAAATAACATTTCTAACAGCATTGTGAATCTAGAAATGCTTGCCCTTTAAATTAAGAAATAATTTTTTACAAGTTTGTTGTTTCCAAACTTATGTTTGGTTTTAATGTATATTTTCTGATATGTGTTGGGGTTTTTTTCCTTTTTCATTCTTTGTTCAAAGTTTGGGTTTGGTTCCCCGCCCCCACTTTTATCCAGTTGATGTTTTTCTTTTTGGTTTTTTACATTAAAAAATAAAAACCTGGGATAAAAATTGCTATGATGCATATTTGAGAAACTGAAAGTGTATTGTATTTTTATTTTAAAGGCTCCATATGAACAAACATAGGCAGAAAGTTAAAAATCAACATCAGCAGAAAAGCAAACAAGAACATAAAATATCACTATTAAATATAGTAAGTTAAACGTTTGAGCAAATGAAAAGCCATTGCAATGGCTGAAACTTTCCAACTTTAGGTGCCAATTCTAATGTTTCCCTTGTCGGCATCCCTACCTGGCTAATGTCTTCCAATGAACTTACAAAGATGATCCCAATGCATTAGTCAGTATTAGGCTTCAAATCATAGGATTTTTTTAAAAGTCAGAAAAGACACAAATATATATGAAGCTGCTTTAAAATCTATTTGATATATTCCAATTGAAGAAATTTGCTCAATATTTTCTTCTTCCTGCATTTGACACCAATGGTATTTTAGAAGTAATCACCACGGGAAAGCTCTCATCACAGTGGTCTAACCTGGATGTCAGCCTAGCATAATTTAGGAAATATATCCAAGCAATTTTTCAGTAGAAAAAAGGTATAACTACCACATGTCACTAGCTACCCATCTGCCCTTCACTGACCTTGATCTTCATCAAATGTTACAGACTTGGGGGATTTATTATTTGTCGGGGGTATTAAATTAACCAAGAATTTTCATTCAAATGATTTCTAACAGTAGAGTGAGATTAAAAGATTATTGCTAAGAATCTAATGTTTAAAGTTTTTTGAGAGTGCCAATACATTGCTTATACCTCCTGGTTGGTGGCATTCAGGAGAGAGATTTTTCCACATTCAATAAGTCTCTGGGATGTAGAGAGAGTAGACTAAAGATTCTACCGTGCACAGAACTAGCTGGACATGTTTTGAGGGAAAATGGACATTGGTTATCCTTGTGGTATATTGGCCAAAATGTGCCAAAAAACCCCTCAACCAACTGTTGTTAAGTCCTTATGGTTAACAAGGAATGCTGTATGTGGCATGAATACAACTACGATTGGTCATCAAGTCTCCTTCTTTCTTGTCTTACAAAAAAAAAAACAAAACCACCCTTACATGTCATTGGGAAAAAAAGCACAAGGGGGGCAAAGATCAACATGAATAGGATGCATTGGTGACAACCATGGTACAGCATATGCAAAATTGCAGAAGGGTAATAGGCATAATTTAAAAAAAAAACATGAATGGCATAGAAAGAAGAAACTTAGTCTATTTGTAATAAATAAAAAGGACAAGGTTATATTAAAGTAGTATAAAGTTGCTGTGATTTTTGTGCATACTGTGAATACAAGCATGCAAGTGAAGATGTAACTTTTGAATAAAAGGAATGCATGTCGGAATGTATGAACTAGTATCATCCAGATAGTCATGGATGCATATGAAAGTAAGCAGGAATTCATAGCAAACATTGTTATATGTCACAACCAGATAGATAGATAGATAGATAGATAGATGGATGGATGGATGGATGGATGGATGGATGGATGGATGGATGGATGGATGGGTGGGTGGGTGGGTGGGTGGATGAATGGATGGATGGATGCATGGATGCATGGATGGATGCATGGATGGATGCATGGATGCATGGATGGATGGGATGGGGAAAGGAAGGAAGGAAGGAAGGAAGGAAGGAAGGAAGGAAGGAAGGAAGGAAGGAAGGAAGGAAGGAAGGTAAAAATAAAACAAATGCAGGAGAAAATGGTATACAGTATGTCTTCTCCAAAAAAATACCGAAGATTAACCTTCCAACAGAATGAATTGTAAGTGCATTTGACGTTGCTTGGAATAAAGTAAAAGAATTGTTATAAAATGCATAGAAATGTAGAGAATTACATCAGTAAAAAAAGAAGTTTGGTAAAATAATGAATTTTCTCTTTTGTATGGGAATCTGTACTGTATTGAACTGGTATAACTAAATCTTGGAAGACAATTCTTTATCTCAAGTATTTAAACAAGAAGTCAACTTCAACCAATTGCTGGAAGTCTAGTGGGCTTCCTTTTGCAGCTGGCTGGCCACAATGATAACAGACTGCTGAACTGGATGGGCCAGAGATTCAATCCAGCAGGGCACTGTTTATTGTTATGTTCTTGCGGTGGATCAATGCAAGTTCTTCTGAACTTGTTATAAAGCTATCTTGCCCTCAACATTCTTGCAGATACTGTACATCTGTAATATAAATAAAATAAAATAAAACCACTAATGCACAGCTACTACTCAGAGGTCCTGTTTTAATTGTGGGTCTATGGAAGACATATGTTTAAGTAAAAACTATTGAGAATCTACCGGAAATCCATCAGATGGTTATTCAGCTTTTCAGTTGCTCTTAAACAGTTCCAGATTAAAATGAAGCAAACAGCAGCCAAAGGCTACAGATCAAATGGCCTGCCTCCAGGATCATTTGCTCAACATTGTTATATCATCCAGTCTGAGTTTAAATTTGCTACAAGCCTGACCCCTGGAGTACAAAGGCCCTAAAATTAATAAACCCAATTGCTCTAGAGTAATAATTGAATTAACACAATAGAAAAATGACAGCTTCCTTCTCTGATCATAGCTCAACTGGGATTGATTTCACACTGTGATTAAATTAATAACATTTCCATCTAATGTAGACTCTTTGGGGTTAGATAATCAGCATGGCATGCCCCAAATTGTTTTCTGTTGTGTGTAAACATGTTGCTTGTTGTACAAACAGTATGAGAATTTATACTACTGTGGGATACTGTGTTGTAAAATTAACACATATTAAATAGGCTACACAAATGGATCTGGTTTATATATAAAGTTGGCCCAAGTATTGCATAGAGCTAGTTAAGGGGAGAAACCTTTGTAAAGGAAATATTGATTCTGAAACATCAAAAGAGGTAACAACGATAAAACATTTCAATAATTTAAACAAGAGTTGACACTTAGCTATAATGTTATAGGATTGATCGGTAAAGTTATTTTTAGTAGGTAGACAGAAGTAAAATATAAAATTTCAGAATTTGTTCTGGACTTCCAGGTTCCAATTTCTTGGAAGCAAAAGGTCTACAACTTGCAAGAACAGAGTGATAATTTTGATTTTACGTATATATAAAATCCAGCTATCAATATACCATTTCAGAGTTCTCTTTTCTCTATATATCCTTCTGGTGTAACTTACACCAATACCACTTCTAGGTCTGCAGTTCTTAGCACATTTACTCACTGAGATATACATCACATCTTTAAAAATGGTTTCCTAATCATTAAAAATGACTCTGGACTACAAATAGCAGAGGGTTTGAATTAGAGTAGACATATGTCTTGTGACATTTTAGTGATTCTGCAACTCCTCAAATTACAACACTCCTCTAATATGAAATATTATAGGAGAGGGAAGTGTCAAGATAGATGGGAAACATTTTTTTAATGTATTTTTATTTCCATTTTTCTAAATTGTTGTTTTTGTCACTTTGATTTTTTTTTTTTATTGTGATTCCATCAGGAATCACACTGGAATGCAGTGCTATATAAAAAGAAATATGTAAATATTGTGGCATTTTTTTCTCTTTCTACATAAGATTCAGAGTTCCACCTTCTGTTGACTCTTTTTTTTTTAATCTTTTCTTTATCAGTAGGAGCACAAGCTCAGTAAAGGGAGGCAAACACTGATTGAACTGAAATATAGACTGAATTTTTCCTGGAAGGATCAATCTAGATTGCAAATCTGTGGACTTTAGCTTGAACAAAGTCAAAAAAATAATGTAAGGGTTCCTTGGATGGTTCAGTTAGAAGGAATGGGCTTCATATTATCATGGGCCAAATCGATGTCATATATACCCAAAAAGCAATTTATGATTTGTAGCACAGTTTAGGCTAAACACCATGAAAAAAAATAACATGAAGACTACAGCACCTCCCTTGAAATCGCTGGAAACCACACACCCACTTTTGTCCAGTTTAAACACACCTTGCAGGTTGATGCCCTGGTACATCTCAAGCTCTACCAATATTCTTCTGCGCCCTTTAACCTCCTTTCTCCTTTCCCAGATCCCTTGAGGTCCTTGCTCTAAATAAAAATAGCAATGTCTAGCCCACTGCTCCCTATTTCTACTTATTTGTTGTATGCTGTTGTCAAGAATCAGGATTTCTTATATCCAACCCACATGCTGGTCAATAAAAAAAAAAAGAATAGAGCTTGGATTACACAATAACACTATGTTTCCATAAAATCCACACACTGATGATCCCGGCCTGAAGGATTGAGAAATATTAGTATTTATAAGAAAGAGGATTTTTTTTGCAAAACCAGGCAGATGAGGTTTCCTTACTCTCCCAAGTCCAAATGTAAGAGTCACCTCTCTTTAGGCAGATAGGAGACCTGTACAAGACTGCCTTTTAAGAAATGGGATGACTAAAAACTTGCTCTTACCTGGAAGAAAAACCTTCATACAGTGCTTACTTGCTTCTTCTGTTATGTACCTGAGGAATGGAATCATTGGAGAATAAGGTTCTCTCCTTCTGGAGAATGTGGAGGAAATGGTTGAGAAAAACTAACAAAGGATTTGTGCTTATTTTCATAAGACAGAAATGGGAAATGGAAGATAAATTATTTTCATAAGACAGAAATGGGAAATGGAAGATAAATTTTGCCTCACATACCAGGAAAAAGAAAATAGAAGTAAACTCAAATGTGTTCACTTCCTCCAAGCCCTTGGTTGACGTATGCAAACATCTCTACTACCTGTCTTACCTCTCTTGCTTTCTAGTGCGCTTTTGTACCACTACACAAGTGTCTTCATGGTTGATCCCAAAAATTTTAGCAGATGAAGGAAAAGGGGAAGGCAAAGACTATCTGACTGAACAAAGGTATAGTAGGAAAATTGACACTGAGGCCATTTCTCACTTCATTTTTATTTTTTTATTTTTTTTATTTTTTTGGCAGAGTGACTTCCCTGGTTTTCCAGAGAGTAAAAAGAAAGGAGGGGAGAAATACTTTTAGACTGGCAAGATTCTGTTAATGTAACCTTACAATCCCCCCCCCAAAAAAAATCAGAGTTAGAAATCTTATCTCAACTATTTTGTGCTTCTTGTCTGGACTACTTTGAAGAATTGATAAGGGGAAGGGAGAATTCTAGGACCTGGAAAGTAGATTACACCAAACTCTGGCCAATGGGAAGCTATCCTCTGGATCCGCTTCAAGGTGCTGGTACTCACCTATAAAGCCCTTCATGGCATGGGCCCTGGGTGTTTGCAGGATCACCTCCTACCGGCCTCCCACCGCCCAGTGCGCTCACATAGGGCTGCCCTCCTCCGGGTCCTCTCAACCAGACAGTGTTGGTTGGCGGTCCCCAGGATGAGGGCATTCTCTGTGGTCACACCAACCCTTCGGAATGGGATGCCCACCGGGCTCCGGATGACCTTCCGCGCCAACCTAAAGACATGGCTCTTTCAGCAACTTCCCTGATCTGCCGTGAATTTTAATTTGGGGATTTGGGGATTTGAATTGGTTTTAATATTATTTAATTTTTATCTATTGTCGGGTTGTTTTATTGTGAGTCACCCCAAGTCCTACAGGAGAAGGGCGGCATATAAATCTGACAAATAAATAAATAAATAAATCCTTCCTAGTGAAACCTATTGCAAAAATACTTCTAGAATATTTCTTCTGGAGCAGGAGATGAGCTGAAAGTTAATTGATTCTAGAACCTTCTAGAACCTATGGTGTCATGAAGATGTGAAGATCACTCTCAGTTTCATTCCCCACTGCAAAAAGGATTCTGAACAGTAAGATAATCAGCTATATTTACACAACTTGATTATGTAGAGTTCAATTACGATTAGAAATTAATATAATAACCCTGGTTTGTGCAATACATTTAAACATTAACTCATCACATTGACTGGGCTCACAAATTAGCCAACTACATTTTACCTGAGTAAAATAAAACCCAGCTATTTCCTGCAGTACAATTTTAGAATGCTAATTCTTACACCTCAGGCATGCCTGTAATTTCAAGACCCGCGTAGTTGATTATTTTTATATTACTTAACATTCTTCATAAGGCAGAAATTAATTATTTTACTCTCTGCTTTGGAGAAGATGAGAATAGAAAATGTATTTTACCTTCTCTCTTCCTGTCCTTAGTATTAAAACCTGAGCTATAACACAAAAATCACCCACACAAACAATTACAATGCAAAGATGCAGATTCCATACACCCCAATTATGATATTTCGCCACAACCAAGTGTCACTTTGCTGAAGATATGCACTAGCACAGCATTTTACTGACAGCCTCTTGAATCAATGAAAATAAGAATACTAAAAATATTTGAAACCACAGTAATCCCAGGAATTTAAAGAAGGTAGCATTACACAGACTATTAACTTTTTGGCATCTGCAGACCTAGCTTGAGCTGTCATCTTTGCTTGACCCTGAAACAACTTTCTCCGTCCCTGTTGCCAAAATGTCAGCATTGGATATCCGTGCCTGTCTTTTCCTTCCAGGAATGAAGGGAGGATCTTTCAAAACTGACTAGTAGACATCAAGATGCAAAAGATTTGGAGAATCTGAGAAGCTATTCTTTCAGAAGAAATCACTCTCTGTGACAATTAGATGTAGATCTATGATAACTTTTCTGCTTACCTTTGTTTTCTCAAAAAATCTGTGTGATTTTCTTCCAGGGGGATGTTTAAATTAACAAGCTGGATAGTCATTCATAAGGGATAGAATGCCTTACCACAGGAACATTGTTTTGACAAGTAACTCAAATAATACCTAATTTTACAAACATTCTTAGAAAAGTACCAAAGTGAAGAGCACCATTTCTCATATTTTTCACTCATCTAGAATTTACTGTACTCCAGAGATAGACGGGTGTGGGTAGGGGGAGAACAAGTAAAAGAATCAGAGTAGGCACAATGTAATTGTTCTCAGAAAGGGCTGTTCCAGGTATGAAATGCTCCCAGTTTGGACCGGATCACCCGATCCGGTAGTGATGATGGCGGGTGATTCGGAGAACCGGTAACAAAAATCCCTGCACCCCCCTCCCCATGCCCAGCTGAGCCACGTGATCATCAGAGGCTTTTTTTTTACTTTTAAAAGCATTTTTTTCTACAACCACTTCAACCAAAGTGGTTGTAGGGGAAAAAATGCCTTTAAAAGCCTCTGACGATCCCAGCTGAGTTGCCTGATCATCAGAGGCTTTTAAAAGCATTTTTTTTCTACAGCCTCTTCGGACTGAAGAGGTTGTAGGAAAAATGCTTTTAAAAGTAAAAAAAAAAAAGGGTTGGCCACGCCCACCCAGTCACATTATCCCACCACCAAGCCACACCCACAGAACCAGTAGTAACAAATTTTACCACTGGGCTGTTCCATTGGGGGGGGGGGAAATAGGGAAATTAAGCATAGGCTACACACTGTGGTAGTGAGCAAATGAAGCCTGTACAGTATAACAAATGTGTAGCCACAATACATTTATTATGCAATCTTCTGTTTAAACTGATTAAGGTATTTAAATACTATATATGAATTTCTTACAACCAGTTGTTATAGTTATGACTAGCGCAGTGTCCTCATGGTCACAGGATCAAAATTCGGATGCATAATAAACCTCATGAACCTACATCAGTTGCAGCGTAATCAGATCACGTGACCACCATTTGGGAAATTCCCAGAGAGCTTTCAACAAGCAAAGTCTGTGGAGAAAGCTGGATTCACCTAACAAGCTCAGTGATTTGCTGCACAACTTTCTTAACAGACACATTGCTCACAGTGATGGAAGTTCGGGTCCCATAGTGATTATAAGTTGAGGACTGCCTGTATTCCAAAACAGAGCCAATGTTTGAAAAGATATTATGTCTCATTTGGGATAGGAACGGTCAAAATTAATCAAAAGTCAGGTTGGAAACTTATTTAGTGAGCATTAAGAGTTTTTCCTTCGGCTGTGTTTGTCAAGTTGCTTTCAGAACCTATCCAGTTCATTATGTGATACTCTTCCATAAAGAGCAGTTTCTACTTGAGGGCCAGAACTAACAGGACCTACTAGAATCTTGAGAAGACTTATCAAATATTGAGAATCTTCTCAAAGAGGAGGAATACAAAAGTACGGTGTGGAAAACTTCCTCTTCAAATAAATAACCAGAAAGCTTCTAAGCATATGATCAAACCAAAATGGGTACTAGGCAGTGGTGGGTTTCAAAAACTTTTACTACTGGTTTTGTGGGAGTGGCTTGGTGGGCATGGCAGTGGAAGGATACTGTAAAATCTCCATTCCCTCTCCACTCCAGAGGAAGGTTACTGCAAAATCCCCATTTCCTCCTGATCAGCTGGGACTTGGGAGGCAAAGAATAGATGGGGGCGGGGCCAGTCAGAATTTTTACTACCGGTTCTCTGAACTACTCAAAATTTCCGCTACTGGTTCTCCAGAACTGGTCAAAACCTGCTGAAACCCTCCTCTGGTACTAGGGCAGGGTAAGGCTGGAGCCCAAAGTTTTTATGAATTGATTGACTGCCTGATTAAAGAAGGAGAATCAGGCACCTGATTTTGTTTTTTCTTGTTGTTGCTTTTTATTATCACTATGAACTGCCCAGAGTTGTGTTTTACAAGATGAGTCACCATAATTATGCTTTCAGGACCATCACTTATTTCACAATCATTGTATCTCAGCCCACTTCCGGTTTTCCCCAAGTTGACTTTATTTCAGCAACCCAATTTTATTTGGAGTTGTACTCCAAGTAATGCAAGCATTACTACTCTTATTAAACATTTAGAAGTCAGACATTCTTGTCACTTCTTTCAAATTATTCAAAAGATCCAAATGTATATTTCTGTGGGTCTAGGACAACTCACCATGGCTAACACACTGTGGGACAACTAGCCACAGGAAAACCTGTCATGGGATAATTCAACGCTGCATTAATCCTTTCATTTAGTTGCTTTTATTATTGATGACTACGTTTTCATTGAAATTATTGTAATTCTCCTATTTCTGGACTGACTTTGTTATTATTGTCCAGGGTTTCACTGAAATTAATTTTTTGTATTTGTTGAATTGTCCCATGGCGAGTTGGCCACGTTGAGTTGACACATTTCTGCCTCTCCCTATTCTATATTTATGATTAACATAGGGGAGCAGAATTCTTTGATTTCAGTATTTCTTTTTAAACATTCACTCTGGAGCTCTGCTATCCTGATGCTCAATCTACTCTAAGGAAACATCACTGAGCTATAGCAGAGCAATTGGTGTCCATCTGTTCTGAGAAGGTTTTGCTGACTAGACTGGTCGATGGAGATGTGGTACACCAGTACAATCCATAACATTTCCCATAAATTGCTATCAACTAATTGTTATCCATGAAAATATGCAACTAATTTTTTTTTTTAAAAAAGATGAGGGGAGTTATGAAAAAAAGCCGTTCAACTTAAAACACCAAATATTTTTCCTGTGTTATGTTACTGTAAAAGAAGAAATTCTTT